GGGGGTATAGTGGACACTACAATGCCCCAAGGGGCAGGATTCAACAAAGGTTAGACACTTACAATCATTGACAAAAGACAGGGTTAACAAAATGTAAAACACAAACAGCAAAACAAACAATACTGGTTGGGGAAATATAAAAGGCACAAAATACAAAATGTCAAAGGACAAAGAAATATAGGTCCTAGGTACCTGTAAAGGGAAAAAAACACGATGGCCCCTTTCCACTGCAAAAGGAACTTCTCCTTGTTAGCTCACTCACCCCAAGTCGCCAAAGCTGGGACTTAAACTTGGATCTCCCATGTGGTAGGCAAGAACCCTGCCACACAGCTACCAGTGCTGGTACAGCTCCAGGCTGCTAGGGGTCTTGACCTTCCTGGAGCCCTGGCCTCACATCAAGCTGCCTGGTCTCTGATTGGAGGAGCTGGAAGCTGAGCTGGGAACTCCGCAGGTTGTTGCTCAGATCCTTGCTGAAGTGGGAAGCCTCTCCTGCTGGCCACAGCCTCTTGTAGGGGATCCTGGAGCCCAGCAGAAAGCCTCTCCTGCTGGCCACACACCGTGCTGCTGAGGGTCCAACTGCAGCCTGCAGGTCCTGCTCCTTCAGGCTCTTCTGGGGCAACTGCTTCCACCCTGCTGGCTCAGCTCTTGCCAGCTCTTTTGAAGCTCCTTCCTCATGGTCCCTCGCTGGTCTCTCCCTCCTGAGTCAGCCGTGCTGCCCCTTTTATCCCCCTCCAGGTGACCCAAGGGGCCAATCGGGGGACATGAGGGGTGAATCTCTGGGGCCTGATTGGTGAGAAAAGGGAATCCCAAGTCCTCCCATCATCTTTTGCCATTTCAAAACCCCTGGGCTAGGTCACTGCTAGCTAGCCCATCACAGTACTATCAAATATCTAGGTGTACACTGAGAAAATAAGTGTTCTAGTGCTATCTAGGTCTTTCAAGGATCACAAGCAATAGCTATGTGCTCCTTCTACAACAGCAGTCAACCACATTTTTGGCCAGTAGACCAGAATGACCCAGCTTGGGTCTGAGTTGGCTTGGCACTAGGACCCTACTGCCTGGCCATGGCAGGGGGTTTTGTCCCCACTGCTGAATGCCTCTGAGGCCCTTTGACTCCAATGGCTCTACAGGCTAGATCCAGCCAGTGGACCATAAGTGGCTGACCCCAGCCTTTAGCACTCTGAATAAGTGCAAAAATCCTCCTTAAGTAGTTGTATGCATCAAGTTCCATGAGAGTATTTGGAGATGTAAAGTTGGTCACTTAAATCCGGGCTGTCCAACTTCCAAGCAGCCACACATGGGGCCACTTATCCCTTCCCCCTGGGCCACATTGGTGGAGGCTGCATGCCCCACGGATGTGGCATCAAGATGAGCCATGGACCGCCTCCCTCATGCCATGTACCTCATGGATGCTCAGTATCATAACTAGGGCAGGGTGAGCAGGTACCAATTCCAGGTGCCAACTAATAAAGGAGTTTTTGCCATTGGGGGGAGGGGAGGGTTGGGGAACAGTCATGTGAGAGGATGGAGGCTGAATAGAATGAGTAGAATGGTGCTTGTCTGTGGTTGCAGTAGAGACTTCTTAAAAGTCTGTTTTAGGGACTTAAAAAACCCAACAACTTCATAACTGCTGTTCCCAAAGCATCATCCAAAAAAGGGGAGGCTGGGGAGTACAACTATACCACTTTATCCCGTTTGGATCTGCCCCTGCCTTGCAGTGAAGTGTTCTTAGATTAAACCCCAGCTAGCCAAAATATTGGAAGGCTGAACAACTATAAACAATTCCCATCCGATGCCATCTACTATTCCCAAAGACCAGGGTATTTTTTAAAAAAGCTTTTATTTACAAAGGTGGAAGTCAGTCCCATCATAACATACCTGTTTCATGACAGACCAAGGTTCCCATCTTGGCTGCACTGATAGCCCAAAGATTGATTCCCAGATCTGTGATCTTTGACTATTGTAGAACCACCAGAGTTCTGACCCTGGCAATCCTTAGACACTACAATAATGAGAGCAGCAGGGAATAAAACACACAATTTTCCATGACTAAGAAGAATTATTGGCAATAAGATTTTCAGTAGCAGATCTGATGAAAACAAACTCATAAGTTCTCCAGAAAAGCTACAGATCATAAACCACAACTGTAGCTGTCATCTCTCTTCCACACACATGCAAAATACAATAACAAAACAAACAAAAATGAGTCTTGTGGTATTTCTAAAACCAGTCATGGCAAACAAGAGATACAATATAAACTGGTTTAAGCTTTCCTCATACAGAGACAAACCATCATAATGTGTGGTTCCCTGGCCCTTCTAGTACATTAAGCTTCATCATCCTTACAGAAATATTTGACATGCTGCCATAGAAATTGTGATGTGATTTGTTAAACATAATTAAATTTTAAGAAGACGAACTTGTATACACCATGCTAATTAGGGCACTGAGAGTTTACATAAGCAAGAGAATATAAAACAAGAGGGAAGGTCTTGTGTGGGGGGCTCGGGGATTTCCCTCTCCTTGTTATCAGTGCTTAAACTGTTTGGTGTTCGGAGAGGTAAGACGAGAAGCTTTGACATGGTGGGGAGGGGGGGAATAAGAATACTGATAGGTAAACTATTCTAAGCCTTTTCTAGGAGGAGGAACAAAGCTGGAGTGAAAAGGACTTTGATCTTGTCCAAGTGCAATAAAACCCTATGATCCTGAGTGATTGGGTAGAGCAAACAGAACACCATTTCACAGCTGTGCCAAATTTGACTGCTGAGACCAACTGTCCCCTGATAATGGTAGTTACTGCCAATCTCAACTTTTCACATTTATTCTGTGGAGAACCGATACAGATGTCACAACCAGACTGGGTTTGGCCCCAGCACTGTGTGGACAATTTCTGAGAGGACCACCGAGTAAGAAATGCCTTAAGGCCTCTTCATACTGCTGGGAACAGGCAGATTTAGTTTGTAAAAACCATGGCTCTGATAGCCTAGGCTATCTTCTGCACAGCTTCCTATAGGGTAATACATGGTAGCAGTATTCTTTGTCTCTCTCAGCCCATGCTGTCCTGTATGGGGAGCGATATGGCAGACTCTTTGAACTGGGGGCAGGAAGGTGGAGCATATACCTTTTAATAGAACACATTCATAACTTTGTCAGCAGTTAATCTGACAGCATGACAGGTGACGCATATGTGTGTGATTTGTTTTTGTGGGAGAAAGGGTGACAGTCGCAACAAACAGTGACTCCAAATGGGAACTCTTATTAACTGAACACATGTGCAATTTGCTGGCAGCTGTTCTGCAAGGAAGCAGAGGGGCAGTTGGCAAGCAGTATACAACAGACTGCACAGCCTTTGCGGCATGGGGCCTCCTACATACTAAACTTCTGTCACCTTTCCAAAAACTTTCAATCCTGGGCAATGTATGATGTGGCACAGCACTTCTCAAGTTTTAACTTACTCACAAAATATAAATAGCATTTTACCGCAGCACAAGCCTCAGAATCACAAAAACAAACCTTAAGTATAAACTCTTAATGGAAGAGATCCAGTTTAGTCTATGCTAAGATGATGTAGAAACAAAAATAAACAAAAAAGTAAATACCTCTGGCATTTTCTGAAAATGGAAAGATACTGGGAACAAAAAATTTAAGCTCCATAGGCCATGCCTACAACTGGAGGAAATGTAAAAGTTCTAAGAAAATAGGTGGAGTTACTCATTACACTTGAGCTAGGGAGAGACATTCAAAAAGCCTGAGTCTGAATTGATTCAATCTTTGCAGGCTCCTTTAACCTGGCTAGTTTGAATTATTTTGTAACTGTAGACATCCCAGAAATGCAGGCACATGCCTGCAATGGCTCAAGCTAGAAGCTTGGCAGTGCTAGTGCTGGGGGTGGTGTGCAGCCAGGCCCTAGCAGGATTAGGGAGGGGTTCCCCCACCTCCTTGATAACACAGAATTTATCAGCTGTGTTATCAGTATTTATCACCCCATCAGAAAACAAACAGCCTCTCTCATTAGTTTATCTCTTCTTAAACAAAGAAGGAATGGAGGGACATTACCAGCTGAGCTTTGATTAGCTCCAAAAAGCCCTAAACCAACACTGCTGTCCACCACAGCATGGACCGTAGCCAGCATGTGGTCTGCTAGCTAATGCTGTGTCTGTGCAAGGCAAAGGGGATGGGGGATCCTTGCTTAGCTTGGAATGGGGAGGGGAGGGGGAGAGCAGGAGGAAGCCAGGCAGACCTTGCTGTGCCTGCAAGTCTCTGCTGGAGCTTTGGTCAGGGAGCAGAGGGGAGGGGCCAGCCTGCTGTGGAGCAGAGAGCCCTGCCCAGCCCAGGGAGCATGCCAGGATGCTGCAGGTATCTGGTTTAGCTTAAACCAGCAAGGGGGTCTGGGACAGACATTGCATAAATTGGTTTGACCCAAATCAGTCAAGTCTGATACTACAGTCAACCGGTTTCAGCCATTTTCAAACCGGTTTGTGCACTGAACTTCTGTTCTGTTACAGGTTTAAAGCAGTTTCTGATCACTTAAACCAGTTTATGTGTAACTTCTGTTGCTAGCCTTGAAGTTTGACACATTTGAAGTTCACTGACTCCTTCTTCCATCTGGATAGGAAATATCCGTCACTTTTGGAGAATTGCAGCTGAAGCTTTGTTTTGATGAGCTGGGGATGATTGTGACTTTTAAGCAGCTTATAGGTTTGGAGCTACTGCTTTTGTTTTCTTACCACCAGTGACTTGGGGAAAAATGCTGCATTTTAGCTGGTTGTTCAGAACATACATGATTAGAAATAAAACACATCATCTTCATTACCCAACAGATAATATAGATATTTCCAGTGGGCTGACATTTATTCATTAGGATGACTTTAAACATCCATTTTCTTAGGATTTCAGATGACATTATCTATGTTTTTTTATCTGTCTATGAAGACATGAAAAGCTGTGAGATTTGCTATTTTTTGTGACAGGTAACCTTTAAATCTGTCACCCTTCTCTAGGATTTACACCGCAATCTGCTTATGAGGGGTGAAGCCTCTGGGACCTTGGAAGGAGAGGAGGACTCTTGAAAACTGCACTAGAATAAAATATAGGAACTTATAAGTACTAATTATTGTTCAACTACAATTACATATAAGCTTAAAAGAAGTGTCAGGACTTTTCTGCTTCTCCCAAATACAAGGGCACCCAGTGTGTTCAGTATCATCCAGGACAGGAATGGGCTGCTTTTTTAAATTGCCTTATGCCTTTAATGATTAAAATGAAAAGACATTCATTGGAGGCAGGCTGGTTCATTAGCTCAAGCCATGGCATATTCTCTCACATGTCCCTGCCAGTGACTGAGATGAGGCCCAATGTGAAGAATTTGTTGAAAAGAGATGTGAACCAATGGTAACAGAAAATAAAGTTAAAAAATAAAGTTTTTAAAATAACTTGTCCCCAGTTGTTTCTAACCTTTTTGCTTTTCCTGCCCTCATCTTCATGCCTCTCCTGCCTTTTCAAAACAACACTGCTTCTACTCTCTAATGCTTGCAACCACCAGATCCACTACTCTCTAGGACAAGTCAAGGAGCTGACCCAAACTGAGATTTCAGTAGATGAAGTTGTAGAGGAAATTGATAAAGTAAATAGTATCAAATCATCAAGACTTGATGGAATTCACCCTAGGGTCTGAAAGGAGCTCAGACTGGAAACTGCTGAGCTCTAAATTGTAGTATGCAAACTATCACTAAAAACAAGCTCAGTACCAGAAAGATGAAAGGTACCAATGTGACTCCTAGATTTTAAAAAACTCTAGCGGGGGCCCTGGGAATACAGGCCAGTGATCCTAACTTCTGTTCCTTGAAAATTGGTAGAAACAAAAAACCCAAAAAAACCAAAAAACCCCAACAAAAAAAGAGTTGTTCAGCACATGGATGAACACGACTTGCTGGAGAGGAATCAAGTTGCCTTTGTTAAAGGGAATCATGACTCACCAGCCTAGTAGAGTTATATGAGGGTGTCAATAAGCAGGTGGATCAGGGTGATCCTGTTGATATTTGAACCTAATAGTATATTTGCACTTCCAAAAAAGCCTTTGACAAATTTCCCCATCAGAGGCTCTTAACTAAGTTAGGTAGTCATGAGATTATAGGGAGTGTCCACTTGTGGATTACAAATTGGTTCCAAGATAGAAAGTAGAGAGTAAGTGTAAATGGTCAGTTTTCAGGATGGAAAGAATTAAACATTCAGGGTCTCCGAGGGATGAGTGTTTGGACCAGTGCTGTTTAACACACTCTTCGTTAGATCTGGAAAAGGGGGTGAGTAGAGGTGGCCAAATTTGCAGAAGACAGAATTATTCAAAGTGGTAAAGACCAAAGTGGACTGTGAAGAACTACAGAAGGGTCTGGCAGGGTTGGACAAATGGGCAACTCAGTGGCAGCTGAAATTCAATGTAGACAAGTGTAAGGTGATGCACTTGGACAAAAATGACCCAAACAATACTGATATTATGATGGGCTCTACATTAGCTGTTACCACACAGGAAAGATCTGGGAGTCACTGGGGACAGTTTGCTAAAACATCAGCTCAGTGTTCAGCAGCTGTCAAAAAGGCAAACAAATGTTAAGGATTATTAAGAAGGGAATTGTAAACAAAGCTGAAAGTATCATTATGCCCCTTTATAAATCCATGGTGAGCCCACACCTTGAATACTGCGCCCAGTTCTGGTTCCCACACTTCAAAGAGATAGAAGAACCAGAGATGATCCAGATGGTATGACCCAGTAAATGGCAATTCTTACATTCTTATGCCAGGTGCCATCTGGAGCTTATATGTAATACCTGACAAGTGATCATATTATCTAGTAAGGGGGCCAGCAACCTTTTTAGGCTGTGGCCTGGATTGACCAAGTTTGGGTCAGAGACAGGCCAGTGTGTAGGAGGCAGGTACTAGGACCCAGCTGCTGCTATCGCTTTTCCCAGGGGCTTCATAGGGAAAGCACCTAGCACTGTCACTTTTTTTTCCCCCCTCTCACATGGCATGGGAAGTGTGTCTGTAGCTGACGCTTGTCCCTGCAGCAGAGGAAAACAACTGATGCGGAAGTAGCTATTGGGAAAAGTTGGAGGCAGTGGCTTTTATCCTACTGCCTGCCCGCCATGCACCCTCCCACCTCTGGCCTGAACTTTATCAATCCAGCTGCTGAAGTCCCATGTCTGTGGGCTGAATCCAATATGGAGGCTGTAGTTTGCTGATCCTTGGTCTAGTAGGCAGCTGTACGGTGTGTATACACTTTTATGAGGTTTAGCTCATCATACTTATGTCCACAAGACAAGCAGTCATCCCAAGCATATTAAAGAAGCTGTAATCTACAGTCAGACCCTCAGATACTGCCACACCTGCTCTGAGGAGGATACTTGTGATACCCACCTGGTCAGGCTCCTCTGGAGCCTCTCAAGGTTGTCCACATCCTTCTTAAATTGCAGCATCCAGAACTGGACACAGTACTCTAGCTGCAGCCTGACCAGTGCCTCATAGACAGGGAGCATTACCTCTAGCACATCAGAATCCATGGATCCTACATGTGCCTTTCCCAAAATGTGAAATATCTGATCCAATGCACCAAATACCCTTACAGCAACTATGCGGGTAAGACTAAACAGCAACTAAGCACTAGAATGCACTCTCTCACTGGAAAAATGTGAGGCTAGAAACACATACATTAGTAGGAGCACATTTTTCACAGAACAGCCACTTCCTTTCTGACCTCATTTTCCTTGTGCTTAAGGAGAATCTACCAAATGCCTTTAAAAGGTGAATTTGGAAACAAAGTCTTAAAATGGCTGGACACTAGGAACCAAGGACTGAACATCAATATTGATTTTTATGACCTGATTCCTGAAATTCTTTCTATACACTACCAGTAATAATGAACCTCCTCCCTGCTGATAGGTCATGATCTTCCAGTAATCAAGCTTCTTTTCTTCTGCTAATTGTTTGTCCGCTACCTCTGGGAATTTCTGCACCCTTGAACTTTGCAGCTCTACCCACTATTCTTAAAAATCACTGTGCTTGCTTTCCTTCTCAGACTTAATGAAGCATGCTTTGCATTTGGAAGCTTGTCTGACTATCTTAACTATACAGTTGGTGCAATAAAAGATATCACCAGAAGATACCTGCCTCTTGCATAATTCTTAGACCATCACGGCTACAACATCACTCTAACACTCCCATCAAACAATATTATTTTTATTAATAAAAATAACCCTCCAGGAAGACAGTTTAATCTGTAGCTATCTTACAGCTGCAACACAGAACCAATATTCAAAAAGTTGTGTTGCTGTGTCTGTCAGGTAAAACAGTTTTGTGCTTCTGGGAATCAATACTATAGTTTGATGTGTGTTATGAGCATGCATTGCTAGCTGGTTATGGAGAATGCCCTTTTTATTATATGGTAAATAGAACTGGTTGAGAATTTTCTAACTAAACAATTTTCAGTGGCAAACATAGATGGCAAAGAATAGGTTTTGAAGATTTTCCTAATTTCAGGAAAAAAAGCTTTGAAATCACTTAAATGTTCTGTTCCTATATTTTTGAAGGATAAATTTGCATGTGGGATCAAAATGACATTTAACATTTTTAAAGGGATTAAAACAAAGTTCTAAACACTTCATTTCAACTTTTCTGCAGTTCATTTTTTGTGTATAATCTGTTAACAAACAAGAACAACAGAGATTGACATGATGGCCCTATTTTGGGGTGATTTCTTTTTTTGGTATCTAAACATCTTATGGAGTACATAAAAATGTTTGCCACCAAGCTCTAATTCTGAGCTCCCAGGCAGACGCATTTGAGCAATTCCAAATTGCTCAAATATCTCAATACTGCAGTATTTTTCTTAGCAAAATGGAATTATGAAAATCATTATATTTTGTTTTGTGGGACCAAAAATGGATACCTATTCTGTAGAAGGTAGGGTAGTTTTGACCTTATAGACTAAATCAGAGATCTGTAACATAGGTGGGCTCACTTCTGCTCATAGGAAAGTAGGGCTGGAAGGGACCTCACAAGATGAGTTAGTCTACCCTTGCTCAGGGCAGGAGCATCCCTGTCTACACTATCTCAGCTGAGTGTCTGTCTAACCTGCTCTTGAAAACTTCCAAGCGTGGAGATCCCACATTTTCTCTTGGTAACTTGTTCCAATGTTTGACCACCTTCATAATCAGAAAGTTCCTCCGAATCTCCAACCTAAATTTCCCCTGCTGCAGATTGAGGCATTGGCTACATGTAGGGAGTGCATGTGGGTGCACGTGCACCCCCTGATCTTGGCAGTGCACCCCATGCAAAAAGGCGCTGCCAACACTGCTGGCAGTTTCTGCAGGTGGTCCCCAATCACTGCTGGCTGCTGCCAATGCTGCCAGCGGTGTCTGCAGGTGGTTGCTGACTGCTAGACCACTAGTCAGCGCTCGCCACCCCCTCCCCGCCACAGCCAACAGCGCTGCGGCTGCCTGCGGGGCCTCACTGCTTGCTGCTGCTATGCTCCTGCTGCCAACAGCACTGCCACTGCCTGCAGGAGCTCGCTGTGCCCCCCCAGCCTCCGGGGGCATGCAGTGTTCATGGCTTGAGGTCATTGTTCCTAGTCCTCTCCCTTATGGCCATGGACAAAAACTCTGCTACTCCCTCTCTGTAATTGCCCCTGAGGTATTTGAAACGGATATCAGATCTTCTCTCAGTTTTCTCCAGACTAAATAATCTTGGTTCTTTCAGCCCTTCCTCTGAAGTCCTTAATCATTTTTATTGCTCTGTGCTGGACTCTTTCCAAATAGTCCACATCCTTCCTGAACTGTGGGGGCCAAAACTGAACAAAGTACTCCAGGGAAGGCCTCACCAGTCTGAAAAAGCAGAAAAATAATTTCCCTTGATTTGTAAGTTACACTCCTGTAAATATGATCCAGTATGCTGTTGGCTTTTTATCTTACATTCAGCTTATGGTCAATTGTAGCCCATAGGTCTTTCTCTGTAGTAGTGCAGCCTAACCACTCATTTTCCTAGTCTGTATTTGTGCATGGAATTTGTGCATGAAGTAAGCCCACTGATTATTAAAGCTTGTGTTATGCATCTCTAATTTAGTTGATGAGGTGCAGATCTACCCTGCCTTCAGACTAATACAGCTAACTCCATCTTCCTGTTCTCTGTCAACAGACCTGAGGTACCTGGGAAATTGGAGTAAGTAAGAATAGGAGAGGTCTTTTTATAGGCAATTCTTGCCACTTCCTCATTCTCTGTGAAAGGTCTGGGACAGAAGTTCCACAAACTGGTTTGACCTCAATCAGTTAAATCTGATACTACATTCAACCAGGTTGGGCCATTT